GCTGCTGAGTTTCATCTGGAGGTAAGGGAGGAGCTGTAGGTGATGGTAGGAAGCTCCTGGTCCTGGGTACAACTGGAAACTACACCCTGCTGGGAGTGCGTGGCCTGATGGGGCTCCCAGTGCCATGGGAGCCCCCAGGAAATGCCAGGCCAGTGATCACCTCAGTGAAAGGCGGGTTGGGGCTTCTTAACCCCTAGCCCTCACCTTAGGGTGGGTTGCGTACACCGGAGGTAGTTGTGGGGGTGCATGCCCCAAGGAGGAGAGTTGGAGGCCAGGTGTGGCCAGGGCCGCCTGAGCCCTGTGGGGGTTTGAGGCCCCAAAGAGGAGAGTTGGAGCCAGGCACGGCTACGGCCACCTGAGCCCACCTTTGGAGGGAAGCCCCGAGACCCCAAGTAAAGGGGGCGTTACGAGCAGTGTGGAGCCCCCAGTGTGGGGGGGGGCAGCGTGTGGAGCCCTGTGAAGGGAGAGAGGGCTCAGCCAGAGAGAGAGAGAGAGCTGAGTCCTGACCCCAGTAAGTCCTCCAATGTGGGGAGGCAGAGTGTGGGTTGAATATAACACTGGTAGTAGCACCACGACCTGATGCCCAGGGGGGAAGTGAGAGTCCCCTGTGAGACCCTGAGGCACCAGTTGGGGTGTGAGGTAACCCCTGCTCCCCACATCCGTGGAGGAGGACCCAGAGAGGGGGACCCCAGAATAAGAGTATGGGTCATACATCAAGGCCTGCCAGAGCTTCCCCTGACTGGGTCAGGACCAGGACCAGGACCAGGAGGGTCAGAAGGGCAAGGAGGCCAACCGGAGGGATGCCCAAGAGCCAGGGGCCTGGGGTCCCGACTGGCCGGGATGTGGGCCGGGGCTAGTGTGAGCTGAAGGTCCCAGTGAGGGGACCGCACCCAAAGGGGAACCAGTGGCAGGAAGAGATATGGCCCGGTATGATGGCGGCAGAGTCTACCTGAAGGGAGGAACTCAGGTGGGGGTCCTACAGCAGGATTCTGGGGCCCATCGTGAGGGACTGGCACGTATGAGAACATCATGATGTCATCTGCGAGGCTTGGGTTGTGGTGTAGGGGAGGAATGGAGCTGCAGATGGCGCCCTCTAGCAGCGGGGCAGTAAATGGACAGCCTCCCGCCTAATTACATCTATTAATTAATCAGTTGAGACCAAGGTATGGTGGGGGAGAAGGCAGGCAGTTTGCCCAAGAACAGGTGGGCAGGCTACGTGGAGATAGGCCCCGGTAGGCCCCCTGTTAGTCATTATTAAGTTAGGAATGGCAAGACTCTGGTTTCAGGAAAGAAGGGGGAAAGAACTTGATGTAAGAGTAGAAATAAAGGAGTTGGCCATGATTTTGTTATTTCTTAGTATTGTTTATGCTAGATTGCTTTATAGATGAGCTCACTGCCCCGAGGAGTGTACAGTCCATATGAATTTGTACACATGATAATTGGGGAATGAGGTACAATAGTAATCTCCAGGAATGAGCAGTGAGGTGGCATATGCATCTTGTTGGCTCCATTTTACTGTGTTTCTTCATATAGCACATTCCCCCAAATAAGATGCATATCTTATTTGGCAGAATGCAGAAGGACTCTTCCTATTAACCAAACTGTTAAGAATCATTTTACTCAGTTAAGATGCACACGTCAACTTTCGATTACTAGTTTTAGAGGGGAAAAGGTGTGGGGTATAAAAATAATTAAGTTATTTACCTTTTTTAAAATAATGCTTTCCCCACTTCCTTATGGGAAGGACTTGACTCTGTAGTCCTAAAAGAGGTTTGCTACTGTAAGAATGGGTCCGAGACAGTCTGGAGGAACACATAAGTAAACAAGTACTGAAATCAGAGGAGGATCCAGACCAGGGGCTGAGGCTGTACAAGAGGATCAGAACTAGAGTCAAAGCCTTACATGTGCACTTTACTGCAGCACTGACTAATTAGCTCCACAGTGAAGTATCATCTACACATGAGTTCATATCAGGTTGCATAAATAAACTAACTCTGATGTACAATAGTACTAAAACAAGTACTATCCTACAGCAGAGTAGTTGCATGTAACAAAAGGTGCATGTAGATGGTGACTGGGCCTGCCTGGGGCATGAGGGTATTACAGTGTAGAAATATTGCTAGCCAGCTAGCCTTGCACTGTAGCACCCTTGTGCCCCAGCCAGCCCCTCCACAGCACATCTGAGCTGGGTTAGAGCAGCCCTGGGCTGGCACACTGGACACCTCCCCCCGGGCTGCCTGATATTCAGGGCTGCTCTGCCCCAGCTCAGCGTGCTGTGGTCCTGGATGCACGTGTAAATGCTACACCCAGAAGTAATAAATTCTGGCACAAACTGTGCCAGAATTTATTGCTACAAGCTAAGTGCACATGTAGATGCACCCAGTAAGTATTATTCATATCCATAGGCTGGCAGTGTCAGAAGTCAGGATCTAGGGAATCCAGAACACTAACAAATATGGTAAGCAGGAGCAGAGAACCAAGCAGAAGCCAGGCTGCAGAGGAACAAATACAGTTGGTTTAGGTTGTGAAGCATAGAGCAGCCAAAGCCCAAATGCAGGGCCTGGGCCTACTCTGCAGTCAGTGACCCTTGTAACTGGTGCTACTCCAAAATGAGTTGGCCCTATTAAAGGTGCAGATTTATCTTCTAACCATTTCTAGAGAAGGACTGGAAGCAGCAGAATTTGGAGGCGTGTTAGGGTGTAGAGCGTCAGCTGGTGACTTCTGGAGCACAACATTGCTGGGGATGTGGTCCTTAGAAGTGGCAATGATAGATCTAAGACTGGGGATCCTCAGCTGGGAAAGCTGAGCAAATCTAAGGCTGGGGATCCTCAGGTGGGAAAGTCCGCTGGTTCTGCTGCTCTTTGTATTATCAAGCAAGTGAATGGGGAGGCCATAAATGATGGGGCTTATAATCTTGGCCCTTAACTTCTCAAGATTAAATATCTGTTACTTAATTTATGTTACAGCTAGTCCCCCTCGGTTTGTATCAGCAGAAGAACTGATGGAAACAGCAAAAGGAGTTACCAACATGGCACTGGCACATGAAATTGTAGTCAATGGAGACTTTCGAATTAAACCAACTGAATTACCAGAAGGCAGGTAAGGTGGTGACTGATGGAAATTACTGTCTGTCTTTCACTCATCTGCACATGAAGAGTAGAATATGCAGAGTCCTTTGGGGAAATAATGTTATGATAAGAATCATTTAATCTGTCTTGGCTTTTCTCTATTCTTTCATTCTAGCACTACGGTTTCCTTACTTCTGTATTTCTTTGACTCTCAGATGTGATTCTTTGGTGCTATTAGAATAAATTATTGTTTCTGGGGGTATAAGTCACTGGATCTTACTGCATACTTGCATGTATTTGATACAGGCACCATCTTCAGATAGTGCCGTCATTCTCACTGTCACACCCACCCCCCCAACCCTTCTTTGCCCAAGCACAGCAGACAGATCTCTTTAGATAGCCTGGACCAGTAGGTGACAAAGTATTCCAGAAATATTCAGTATTGGAACCTTTTACAAGAAGGCAGTGGATGGCCCACTATCAGTACAATATAGCATCTTGTCTCTGTGGAGGCCCCTCAGTCCTGATTTAGGGCATGGACATGTCTCCCCCAAGTGGAGGACTTCCTGATCTCCTGTGGTGTTGATAATTGGGGCACCCTCCCCAGAATTCAAGTCACTTCAGACTGAAACAAACAGTCATAGGAAACATTTCAATTTCCTTACCCACATATAGCTTTATTGTCTCCCTAGAGAGGCAGTCCTCCCTCCTCTCCCTGTGCTTGTATTCTAGGAGTTCTTATTGAGGGTTGTGGACACACAAGATACTAAGGCAACATTAATTTCCATGTGTTTTCCTGGATTATTCTATAGACAGGACGGTTCTTCAGGAAATCAGTTATGGACCTTTAGTGCATGCTGCTTACTTGTTGCTATGTCTAAATGATTCGAAGGAATTGGGCCCCATGCCCAATTTACACCTGTCTTGCACTGGGATCACTTATTGTCCCCAGGGATCTAGGAAAAAAAACAGTAACAGTTTGAAGGGATGAACCCCAGGAAACAGGGGTCCAGAAAACCTGGACCTCTTTGGCAGACAAGCCTTTCCCTCAGTCTCTCTTCATTTCTACATCGTGAATTAGCAAGTGAGGATTATGGAACAGCTTCCTGGCATAGTAGAGGGCAGTATCACTTCTCCTCCTTTCCAGCTTCTCAAGGGTGTGGAGAGCAACTGAAAGAGAAGAACTAAAGGTGTCAATGAATGAATAAGACCTCCTCCAGGTCTGTGGCTGCAGCTATTAATTGTGCTCTGAGCTTCCTGGCTGCAGCTGTCCTGCATTCCTAGGGAACTCAGAGTAACCACTCTCTTGGCCATTTAAGGGAAATGTAGCAGAAGTCTTCTCAGGAACACAGGTAAAGGGTTTCTGCTCTTTATTTCAAAGAACCCATGTCTTTATCCTGTCTTAGACCTGAAGAACCTGATCAAGATGTAATGTCAACTCAGATTCAGTATGGTAATATTTGCCTCCCATATTCCATCTCTATAAATCCAGGCTCTCAAACTGCAGGATTTGTCCTTCCATGTCTCAGTCCAGTCTGCTCATAGGAAGCCATGTTTCTTGGGCTCTATCACATGGGAAGTCTGCTTAAAACAACAGTGCAGCCTTTGGTTAGGATGATATCACCCCCAGATTAACATTAGTCTTCAACACAATGTCCTTCCCCAAATGGCAATATCATAATTTTTTTAAATTCAGATATCCTCACAGCCACCAGTTTCTGCATATGCCCTGTCATGGCACAAAAATGTTGTCTCTTGGAAGCTCGTGGAATACACTATTCACAGTCTGATTTTTCGAAATGACTTGGGCTTCCATTACCTGGTCTAGGAGAAGGATCCAAGGAAATGATTTATAAAGCCTCCGCTAAGGACAATGCGGTATTGAGAAATCCATGCAAAATTCAGCGTGAAGGGGGTGTCTGGGTTTCATTTGAACCAGCTGATGATCTTCTTTGTCATCTCTTTCCCATAAGCCAGTGGTCACCACCAGCCAGTCGATCTTAATCAGCTGGTCGATCGTGGAACCTCTGACAGTTGATCTCAGTCTGTTGGAGGCTCCACGACTGGAAGAAGCAGGATGCATGTGGCTGGGCTGGGCTGGGCTGAGCCCTGCCTGCTGCTGCCCAGGCCGGGCTGGGTGAGTGGGGTCAGAACCCAGGCAGCTTGTCTGGGAGGCAGGGCAGAAGCTGGGGGATGGGGGCGGAGGGGGGCAGGGCAGGGGCACCCTTTACTTACAAAAAGTGATCTTCATTATAAAAAGGTTGGAGACCACTGCCCTAAGCTTCCGTGAAGGATTATGTTCTATTGTGTGCTGTTTTGTTCTGTGTTGATGGTATTCAATCTGTCCCTGTGCCTCTTCATGGCACTAGGGTGCCCCTCTTCAGGCCAGGTTATTTCCTTACAGTGACTGAATGGGAACTCATTGCATTGTTTTATGCCACCAGATGACATGCATGCCATGCATGTTGACTGTGAAGGCTTTCTGCTAGAGCTCCAGCAGCATTTTTGTTCTGCCTCCAGAACATCCATATTTGAAAGATGCAAGGCAGCTGCATAGATGTTTTAAAACTTTGTGAGGCGTTAGGCTTTGAAATCTGATGCCAGATTTGGAAGAGTAGAGCTCCGGTTTGTGTTCAACTGATCCAGCTGGTACTCGTCCTTACCTCCCCAAAGGGTAGAGTGCTTGCCAGGTATCTGTAGTAGAATTCATGCTGACTAAAAGTACTAAATGGTTCTTCAGTATATTGTATGTCCATCCCATGACCATGTCTTCATCCCTGCTTTGTGTTCTTAGCTAATAGACATTTTGAATCATGTGAGGTCATGGCTGCTCTAGCCTTTTATACCCTTAAATGGAAGCATGAGGAGATACGGTCTGTGTGCATGAGCAAATTCTGACAATGGCTCAACGGGCTAGAATAGCTATAGAGTAAATAACTGTATTTTTTTCATTTTCAGGCATTGCTTGAGCTTTCATGGTTAGTGGAATGAGAACCGCAAGCTTTTCTATGCTGCTTGCATAAAATAGTATTTTCATTTCCTCAAGAATGTGTCAGCTTCAGATTTGATGCAAGTTGGTGCAATGCTGCTGAAGTAAAATTAACTAAATAAAAAAATTAAAAGTAGGAATTAGTGATTGAACTGATGAAGTTATTTCAGAGTTCACAGCAACTTTGAATTTGGCTCTCCAGCTCAAATCTTTAATGCTCAAGTGTATGGAAAAACCGTGACTTGTGCTCTTTGCTATGAGGCAAATTCCTCATGAGTAATACATTCTGCATTAAACCTTTTGAATTTTACTCAGGGGACTTGTATCACTTCTAGGACATTTAGTTAAGTACTGCTACAAAACACTGACATTGTTCATAGGAATCTGAGGAGACAAATTATAACTTGATTATTATCTTCCCTTTACTGGGTTACTTTTAGAATTATCCTTCACCACTTGCTTTGAAAGATTTTGTATTTGTAAATTTCTTTGTATGTATGTTTCTGTCATGTTAGTCATTGTAAATCCATTTTCTAGGGGGTTTTTTGGTTTGCTTGTTGTTGGGTTTTTTTGTTAGTCTGCTTCCTGATTAAAATGGCAAGGGTTCTTCTCTAAACATTGCTAATTTATATATAGCATTCTTTAAAAATGTTAACTGTGATTGCAAATTCAAGTATTAGCTTCTAATATTGTGTTTACTAACAGCTTGGAGAAAAAAGTGAGAGAGATTGTACACAAAGCCTTTTGGGATTGTCTGGAAGCCCAGTTAAATGAAGATCCACCAACGTATGATCATTCAATTAAACTTCTGGGGGAGGTAAAAGAGGTAGGATGATATATGTAGGGTAACCATATTATTTTTTTAGGAAATCCTGGACATTGCTGCCCCCTTCCCCCCTCCCCTGGCCAATCCTCATCCCCGACAGGAGGAGCAATGGCCAGCCCAGCCTGCTGTCCTCCCTGACCCCCAGCTGCTGCTCAGGAGGGTGCCAAAATACAAGTTTACATGGGGCACCACACATGCACGCAAAAGCAGCCCATGCTTGTAGCAGCACTTCCCCCACCCTGGCTGATCCTCACCCCAGGCAAGAGTAGCAGTGCCCAGGCCAGTCTGCTCCCTGCCTCCACCTGCTGCGCAGAAGAAGGTGGGCCAGGCAGGGTGACACAGAACATTAGTTTCCATTTTCACCAAACTAAGAAATCTGGTCCTGGCCAAACTGAGACTTACAGTTATTCTAATGTTATGGCACAAATATTTCTGTAAATTATGACACAAATGGATACAAATATGCAAACAATGCTTACTTATAAAGTATCCTGTTAATGCTACAGTTGTAATATATTGATGTAAAATGAGTACAGTGACAGTGTAGATAATAATCTTTTACCTGTGGACTGTATGCATCTGCCTGGGGAAGAAACAGTCAGATATGAGAGCCAAACATACCAAGCAGCATAGGAGATGAAAGTAAGGTTGCTTCAACGTTAACTTCATAGTTGAATAATGGGTTGGTATTGTTACCATATTTACTCATGTACATATGCACCTTTCCCCAAAAAATCAGCCCCATAGAACTGAGGTGCATGTATTAAGTTGGGAAGCTGACTTTCTGCCCAGGATAGAAGCACTTGGCTTTGATTCCAGTCTCACTGTGCAGCTGTTGCATTACTTTTCAGGCAGCTCAGGGAGTCAGTTTACTTAATAGTTCTTTGTTCATCATTCCAGAGCAGGAGTGGACAATTATTTGGACTGGAGGGCCATTTAACAAGTTTTGGTGAGCTGTTGAGGGCTGCACACATACAATTAATGGTGTTTAACAACAGCTCTACTTAAAAATTGTTATGGCATTTATAGCATAAACAAAGAAAACTTTGTTTTCTGCACATCACCATATTTCCCTACACAATCCCAGAAATAAGTTCCCAAATTACCTCACACAATTACCAGTTTTCCACACAGAAAAGCTCATATTGCCACACATTTTCTGAAAAAGTTCCTAAATTACCACTCAATATTCCAAATGTATTTTCATAAACAGTTCCCAAGTCACCACAGACAATTGCATTGCCACAGTTTTCACACAACACCCCCTGCACCCTCACCCTCTGGGCTGCCTCGCTGCTGACCCTGGTGCAGGCTGCGCTGCACTACCTGCTATGGAGTGAGGCTGGGTGGTGCTGGGCATGCTGGGAGCACCATGTCCACCACCACTTGGAGTGCAATGTGACTGCTGCAGGCTCCCCAAGAGCAGTGAATCTGCATGGGCGTAGGGCAAGCAGTGGGGCCAAGGGTAGGCAGTGCGGACCAGTGTCCCATCAGCACCAGCTCCATGGAGGAGCAGCTTGTGTCTGCCTACTGGTCAGCTGCAGCCCCCAGTCCTTGAGAGTGTTCGGGAAGGGATGCATGAGGCAGGGCTGCCACTCATTTCCCTGTGGGACACTTCTGGGATGCTTTGCCACTCTGTCCATGCACAAAAGGCCCCTGGGCACATGCTGCTCTTCACACTGCTGATACAGACTGCCCCTGAAGTGCTGCTGCCCTCCTCTGGGCAAGCGTGAGCATCAGGCCCTGCTGCCCTCCAGTGGACAAGTGCAGGCATAAGGGACACATGTGGCAGTGGTTCTCCATCTTTCATGATGTTTCCACACTTGATCAAAATAACTCTTGTTAACATGTTAATGAACATGATACAAGTATATGCAAAACTTATCTACAGGCCGGATAGAATCTCTTGGTGAGCTGGATACGGCCCATGGGCCATATTTTACCCACCCTTGCTCCAGAAGTATTAACAATTGTCTCTCCTTTTTAATGGTCTTGATGTTCCCCTAATCAAGCTAACCTTTCTTAGGTTAATTCTGCTGTCTTCTAACTGGTCCTTACCCTCTCTTACTATTTCACAGCCTTGGAGGTTCTTTAATTCTTTTCAAAATCTTAAATCTACTTAATGGAGACCAGTCTTCAGTAATAGCTGGTGTTTCAGCTCTAGTTGAGCAGGAAAGGGAGGGTAAGTCAGCTGAAGAGTATACTTTGTCCCTGCTCTATGCAGCCATGAATCTAGAAAAACCTTCTCCTCATCCTGCTTTGCAAAAAAAGTGCTCGTTATATTCTGGGACATGCTGTATGTGAGAGAATGCAATAATTATGCAACATCTAGAGGATGCAGTCAAAGACTGGCATAATGTGTGTGCATGTCCTCAACCCCAAAAGATGATCCTTTCCCAAAGAACCTACAATCTAAGGAGCAAGGGTGTCCAGCTCCTTCGGCTCCACAGACTGGATTTGGACCTCTGGCAGTAGAATAGTTGTTTGTTAGTGTCTGTCTTGTGGCTCTGGAACCTAGGGGGTGAATGCTGTTGCTCTCCTTTCCCCAGCCTCTGATTTTAGTCTCCAACAGTGACCAAAGACCCCAAATCTGGCAGCAGGCAAGGGAATGAGAGAATGAGCAATGGCGATTTTTCACTGCTGGATTCTAGAACCACACTAACAAGCCACCTGGGCTGCAGTTTAACCACTCACAGGGTGGAGGGAAATTGAGGTTTAGAAAAGATACTGTGTGATTTATGCTTAGAAAAATAAATTGCCATGTGCCACACGCATCCAGTGTGGAACTAGCTTCTAGTCCAGAAAATTACTTAACTTTTTTCTATGATGAAAAAATGTTTGATATGAAAAAACTAATATAGTGGTAATTGTTTTCTTTCAGACTCTTCTCTCTTTCTTACTGCCTGGTCATTCTAGATTAAGAAATCAGATTACTGAAGTTCTTGATTTGGACCTGATAAAGCAAGAAGCAGAAAATGGAGCCCTAGACATTTCTAAACTGGCATCATTCATCATTCAAATGATGGGGACCCTCTGTGCTCCAGCTAGAGATGAGGAAATTAAGAAACTAAAAGACATTCATGAAATTGTTCCATTGTTCAGGTGTGGAAATAACTTTTATGAATCATGCTGTGAATCACTTCAATTATTTCAGACTTGCACATGAGCCTTTTGTTAGAGAGCAAAATATTTCCTGTATATGCTAGTGGCATATACAGCCTGTTAACACAAATACCGTTCTACAATTTTTAGAAGTGGCATGGTGGGGTAGCTGGGGGAGGGGGTGGAATAGTTATGGATTGGAAATTACAGTAGCCAGTAGTAAGGACCCTTTAGATACTGGTGAACTGAAGAGTTTTGTTAAATTCTGTCTCATCAGAAACTACTTTTTTTTCCCTTGTATTGGGAGATTACCCTTAAAGTAAAAGAAGATTTCCTCATCAATTAACAAAGAATCAGAAGAAGGGCACACGGAAGTGCTTTGGGTTAGAATACAAGGCAGTCGAGGGGAAAGAGACTTAACAGTGGGGGTCTACTACAGACCTCCCAACCAAGGGGAAATGCTCGACCAGGAATTCTTAGGCCAGCTCACGGAGGCACTGAAGTCTAAGGATGTGGTAGTCCTGGGGGACCTGAACTTCCTGGACATCTGCTGGGAAGAGC